CCATGTTCTCTTGATGTATGACATGATCAAATTTTCGCATAGTAAGGACACAAGTATTTCTTTCTTTGATTCAAATTCAGAAATCTGCAAAGGATCCAAAACCAATTTCTTACCCTTAAAATTGAAAGAATAAGTGTGAACATATCCGTCATAAGAAACCTGGTGATCATACATCCATGGCCGTCCTAACAGCATATGACAGACGGTCATAGGGATCACATCACACCAAGCTTCATCTGTGTACCTCTGTCCTAATGAAAATTTTACTAGGCAGCGCAATTTAACTAGGACTGAATTAGTTTCATTAACCCAACGAATGCTGTAGGGAGTGGGATGTTTCTCGATGTCCAAGATCGTCCCATTACCTCTTCAGAAATGACGTTCATGCCGCTTTAGTTGTCAATGATAACATTAAGAGCTCGATCACCAGTCTCCATTCGGGTATGAAAGATATTGGTGCAGCGCCATTCATAGTTATCTACTAGCTCCTTCTTTTGTCCTGTTAGCACTCGGTGGATGACACAACTAGGTAAGTCAGTTACACCGAAGTGTTCCTCATCTTCATCTGTATTCTCATTGATTTCCATCACTTCATCTACCTCCCCTGCGTCTATCATCATTAAGTCTTTCTCACAAATATAAGCTAGCTTTCGATCTCGAGTAGGACATACCACTGCAAAATGTCCAAAGCCCTTGCACTTATAGCACTGCAGCCCCTCGCCCGTTATTTTTATTTTTCCCTTTTGATCACTTACCAGCCCTCCATTGGTGGGCTCACTTGGTATTGGTGGTTTCCCGAATGGTGAGATTGCAGAGCGTCACATTCTAGGATCAATAGACACCGTCATCCTCCCACTTAAAGCCCCTTGTTGCTTCTCAATTCATAATGCTAATTGGTAGGCTTCTTCTGTGTTAATTAATCGAGCAGCTATCATTTCTTTGCGTAGGTCACCCTGTAGCCTAGTAAGATAATGAGCTAAAGTTTGCTGCTCAGTTTCTGTGATTTTGCTACGAACGGTGAGTTCATGAAAGTGGTATCTATATTGATCAACAGTCATTAGTCCTTGCCTTAGCTGCAACATGTCTTCAAACATCATGAGTTCGTAATCGATAGACAAGTACTTTTCTTTCATCTCTTCCCAATTGGATACTAGTGATTGTCTGGTATGACGCAATTGTTCCTCCAAACTACTCTAAAAGTTTAGGGCACAGGTCGACGATGTATCTAATGATGTTGGAGCTCTACGTCGCCACATGTTAGATCTTCAGGGCGAGTTAGGGACCTTTAGACTTAGGTCGTTGCGATACGAGGTGACATAGCAGCCCTACGAGGGACTGACAGGTATTGGGATGGAACGGGCAATAGAGAGACTGGCAGTCATCGGGATGGATGGGGTGACGGTGGAGCGATTCAGATGGGGTATGATGATCTGTCGTAGCCATCGAATATTGCATACGACTCATTTTTTGAGGGGGTACCAGAGGAGATGGAGGGAGGTACCGGCGGAGGTCGGGGGGTACCGACGAAGGTCGCGGATAGGGTACCGGCTGAGGGGGTACCGACGGAGGTAGATGAAGGAAATGGCGGAGGCGGGGTACCGAAGGAGGTTGAGGAGATACCCGTGGAGGTGGAGGGGGGGGGAATGGCAGAGGCGGAGGGAGGGGTACCGAAAGAGGTGGCGGATGAATATTGTGTAAATATTGTGTAATTTGTTATTTTATTTTAAAAAAATGTACAAAATTGTGAATCTGAGGACCTTGGATACAATTAAAATAAGCAATTTTATTATAATTGAATATTTGACGGCAATAAATAAAAACATATTATTTACAATCGAATAATAAACTATATAAACAATTAAAATAAGCAATTTTATTATAATTGAATATTTAACGACAATAATAAAAACATATTGTTTATTTAAGTTTTATATTTCAATTGTTCATTTGATATTCTGTTAATTATAATTAAATAGTATATAAACAATTAAAATAAGAAATTTAATTATAAATTCTTCTTTTACAATAAAATATTAAGTAAACAATTAAAATATTTAATTGTTTCTTTGAATTGTTTATATAAATAATTAAAATAAGCAATTTAATTATAATTGATAACGACAATAAATAAAAACATATTATTTAGTTATAAATAATAAACTATTAATAATATTACACATTTGTTGAATTGTAGAGAAATCTGACTTGTACAAAATCGACGAGTATGTCATGTTGCGCTGCACCTGCCGCACTTACGAGGTTGAAGAAATTCTTTGGTGGATGGTATTCTAGACGTACGTCTACGTCCTAGAGCACATGGTCCGATTTCGGGTGGTAACAAATTATTAAGTGGGAGAATATGGTCGGGAATTTCCCACTCGACTTCATTTGACAGAGGAAATATCGTTTCGACATACGCTGCTCTCCAATAATCAGCCATGTAATAATTACTGCATAAGGTGTGTGGTGGAAATCTTCTATGCATATCCACCGCATGCATACACGGAAAACTCTCCAACTGAAACTTTCTACACGTGCATGTGTTATCATTCAAGTCCACGATGTATCCGATATTACTTCTACATTTCACGAAGAAGCGAAACTGACCCAGTTGTTCCATCCATACCTTTCTCGCCACCTCTAGAGTCTTCAAGAGTTTATCTTTCTGAGTCGGAGTCAGCACACTTGTACAATTATGTGATTCCTCACGTCGGTCATGAAACCATTGTTGCAGCTTGTTACGAATTTGCTCAATCATTGCGAGAATTAGTAACTCTCGATCCTTCTTGAATAACACATTAAGCGACTCAATATTGTTCGACGTCATCATGTTGTATTAACGTCCTGAAAAATGTGATCGTGCCCACCCCGTACTCTTGACGGACGTCGTTAATGATATCCGAAAGTCTGTAAATCGTTCGTGGGTCCTGAAACTTGTGCATTATTTGTCAACCAATGAACCATGCTTGGGCCGCCTGTGATCATTTCGACGAATTCCCACTTCGCAAGTATGTTCCCGTGCATATTTACGAATTACAAAGAACTCGTTCGTGTCCATTTTCGTCACTCGCAAACGCCAATGACAACATCATCAATGCAGATAATTGTGTACGTCGACAGTCGACTTGTTCGATTTTTCCACTTTAAACTCAAAATTGTGTTTCAAAGCAATCTGATGCACATCTTCCTACAAATCTTTCTTTTTTTCAAACAGTTGCTCGACATATAAATTTTCATCATCAAGAACTACACGGGAACAATTAGAGGTCTGTGTACTCGTTCCAACTTGTGAACTCGACCCATGTCTCCGTCGAGATAAAGCAATTAAATCCTCATTTGTAAATTCATTTTCATTCTTATTGTCTTGAACTATCGAGGGAATTCTGTGCGTAACGGGGAAATCATGGTGATGAACAACTTTATCGGGAATAACCACATAGTCCTCACAAGCTAACTCCACTGTGTCCCAAAAATCAATCACATTACGATCCCCTCCATCGAGATCTTCATGTTCACTATCGGGGATATTCTTCTTCGCTAAAGTTACGCAAATATGAGTAGTCATGCGAACTTCGTTCAATTCAATTAAAACCTTGATTTCGTCTTCAGAAGTAACATTTACAAGTGGAATTGGACTGGATGTATGCTTGTTATTGAATAGAAATCCCAATTCTATGTCGTACTGAGAGGGATCGACGTTGAGCTTGTTCTGTATCTCACAGTACATTTCTGCATATGATGTACTCGGTGTCATCACAATTGCAATTGTGCCTTGTATTTCACCTGCCTATTTCCAGACCCATCAACCATTTTCATTCATTTCAAATTTACCAAAGTAAAGAACCGGGACTGCAGTCGATCCCATATTTGCATTAGAAAATATAATTTGTTAAAACAAATTACAATTAAGGGGAAAAATGCATGCCTAGTCGTCCGAGCGGATTCAAAATTATAATTAAGAAGAAAAAATAGTCCGGATCGTCTGGGCCCGGACGGCCCGAACGTCTGGCCCAGACGGCCCGGGTGGGTCCCTTCCGGGCCGGATGAATCCGGACGGACCAGATGACCGGGCCGTCTGGGTTTACCATTTTTTAGATGATCGTAAATTTGCCTGAAATTATGGCCATGTATGGGAGGGATTAAAATCGGATTAAAATTGAAAATATAGCCGTTATTGTTGACTTTTATTAGACGAGTGGGACCCAATAACTGCCGTATTTTCAATTTTAATTGGCTTTTAATCCCTCCCGAANTTTTGTTGAGTGTTTGATAAATTCATTTGTTTTTAAGCCCCCGTTTGGCACCTATTAATTTCCCATTCTCATTCTCATTCTTCATTTCAACCATACATTTTCCAAATAAAATACTATTACACACAAATCAAAAACTTTTCATTACTTTTCCACTACACATTCTCACATCAATCACTATTCCAAAATTTCTATTCTCCTCAAAATTAGATTCAAACACACTCTAAGTTTGAAGCATATGAAAAATGAAATAGTTTTTATCTGTGTTGGAGTAAATAAATAAAGAAAGTGATTTAATTTTAAAATTTTAATTGGGAATGTTTGGAATTCTTTATAATTTAAAAATGATATTATTATCTTTTAAACAATACCATATTTTTGTAATTGTATAACATTTTAACGATGGTTATGTCTTCTACGCATATTTAGGCCGAATGTTAATTTTTTTTTTTGTCAAACTGCAAAATGGCAAACTGGACTTCCCAAACTGAAAATACCCCCAACTGGGATCTCTTCTTACCCTCACCGCTTTCTATTTCCTGTTGAAAATCTCGTTACTTTCAAGCTTAGGTTTTGCGGGAGTAATCAAGTGCTCGACGGTCCACCGGAATTGGAATTGACACAGTGAATTTTCAATTAACTCAGTGATTTGGAATCTATGCAATAGAGGGTATTGAATTGTAAAAATTCGGGTTGCTGAGGATGAAATTTGGCATAAAGAAGAAAGGCATAATTTTGAGCTCTTAAAAGATGTGGTTTTCCTTTTGGAGATCCCGGGATCGATTCTCATTAGATGAACTCAGGTTCTCCCTCTTATTACTTTTTTTTTTGATTCATGATAGTTATTGTATAATTTATGCGTGCTCTGCTTAATTTATTGGCTGGAAGTGAATTTTAGGTTCGTGCATGTAATTTTAGTGAAATTAACAGCTATCCGTATCAAAGAAATATACTTAAGAGTCTTCTTGGGAGATTTGGGATACTGATTTTAGGAGTTCATGAGCATCCGGTTTTGGGTGGGTTTTTGTAGTCGTTTATAAAATTGTTAAACTCATGTGAGTTTATTATCGAGTGGTTAGATATCCTCTGTTCACCCAAGCAAGATAAATTGAATTGACGAGTTGATGGAATTACGAATGGGGTTGGTGTTATGAATTTCTTAATAGGAGAAGGTAGTGATTTGGAATAGATCTCTCGAAAAGTATTTAGTGCTCCATCCTCTTTCTTTGGCTTTCTGAAAGTTTTTTAATACAATAAAATTACATATATGCTCATATATAAAAAAAAGGTAGGTATATGTAAACAATATGGAGTAAATGCGTATGTTACTACTCCTTACAATTCAATATGGCTTTACATAGCTTGTCCAATCATTTTCTTTTGTGTATGAACCAACCTTTGGACTAATTATTGTTGTTTTAAATAAGCTCTTGTATGCCTATCGTTTTGTATTGAATTTTCTCAAACTCATTTTCAACTACATATTCTCAAGATAAAATTTTTTGCATGTAAACTCCAATATTTTTCTTATTTTTAACCCTGCATTCTCACGATAAATTTTTTTCTTATTTTTATTAATAAATGATATTTTACTTATAAGTAATTTGTTTTCTTATAAGTTAATTTTTAACTTAAAAAGTGAAATAATCACTTAGAATTAAATTTTTATGGTATAAATATCTTTTTTTTTTACCTATAACTAAGTCCCTGTTTGAGTCCCATTTTTGGTGAAAAATGAGCTTTGTTATACTTATTTTATGGAAAATGTGTGGTTAAAAATTATGAAAAAAATTTGATTTACGTGTAAATTATTTTATTGGGAAAATGTGTGGTTGAAAATGAGTTTGAGGTAAAATATATATAATAACTTCTTACACAAGTGAATTTTCTACCTATAACGTTTTATATTTTATAAGTAATTTTTTTCTTATCAGTAGTACTTTTTTACTTTATAAGCAATTTTTCACATAAAAGTGAATTTTTATCTTACAAGTGATTTTTATTTATAAGTAAATTTTTTAATTATTGTATTTTTTATTATAAGAAATTTTTTTTACGTATAATTGACTTTTTGTCTTGTAAGATAATTATTTTGAAGTGGGTAAAATTGGAGGAAATTTAAAAATATGGCCAAAAACCACCGATTTAGTGGGTTTAAAATACGACCCAAGTTATACTATACTGGTTTTTGCCCTTTGGGTGGCTTTTGAACCACCCAAAATCAGTGCCCAAAAAACACTAACAAGAATTAACAAGCACTAATTTTCCCAACCTCTCATAAACGGTACCACCCGAAAATAGTCAAAATTAGTAGAAATATAACTCTAAGATGACACAACATTCAATTTCCATTTTTTTCCGTTTATTCCCTTTCTGGATAAGCCATTGTCTTTCATTGCATTGGTAAGAAGTCAAATTATTTGGATAGTTTAGTTGATTGATTAATTGAGTGCCTTAGTGTCCTAAATTTCATTCTATGTGGTTGATTTTCAGGTCAAGTTTTTTTCTTTTTTTCATTATATTGAGAATTTACCAAAGAATAAAATGAGAGTGAGATAAGATGCTTCGAATGCCTTTTCAACAAAGCTAATATTTCTGCTACTGTGACCTCTTTTGGAGAGCTTAAGATTGAGATATTAAAACAGTAGAAGGTGTGCAGAAAAATTGAATGAGCTGTTGAGAGTTAAAAGTAATTGAGTTGGATCGAGAATGATATAAGCTCTTTGCTTTTTGGAAGTCATATAGTAACAACTGACAAGTGTAGAATAGAATATGTTATTGAATGTGACTAGATTTTCAAATATTGTCTCAGAATAATCTCTTTTTTTTTTTTTGATCTGGTAAATATCATCCTAGTCCTCTACTGATGACCACACAAGAAGCCACGGAAAACTAGGGGCATGAGGGAATAGGGGATGGGGAAGTGAGGATTGGTGACGTTTTACAGGGCCTTCACAGTCTTGTACCTTCCAAGCTGTGTGGCTCTAGCATCAAAAAGGAGAAAATTAGAACATAAAAGAGAATGACTGGCGTTGACTTCAAAGCAGTGCAAGAAAAGAGCTTTAAACTGTCCTAAATTTAGGAAGCTTTGCAATTTTTTATTGTATATATTCGAAAATGTGGGTTTCTCTAGGCACTATGCTGGATGGAATGAGCTTTCAATGAATGGGCACATAAAGCATATCTACCAACGTGCTTAATCTGTAATATGTTTGGGGAAAAAATATGTGGCTTGGAAGGACAGGAGTGAAGAACTCTTCAAATTCATTTTATCATGTTAAGTGGGGTGGTTTGGGGGTGAAGTTGGTTTTGTTTATACACTTAAGGTACTGTAAATGTGAGATTATGGTGATTTTTATGTGTGCATAATTAATACTTGTAGAGGGATTAAAAAGTAATTCTTTGGTGTGCTTTTCATTTCTTTGGGAGGATGTCTTGGGCTCTGCTTGTGTACTTCTCTTGTTTCTATTATACCCCTCCTTTAAAAAAGAAAGTGAGTTATTGGCATTCCTGGAAAAAAATTAGATACTCTAGGTTCTTTTATTCCTAGGGTGACCTCATTATCCTGCACGATTTCTCAGATGAGACTTGATTAAATTTTCCATTCTACTTTTTCAAGTATACATGATGTTATTGAAATAATGATTGATTGACAGGACATTTTGCTCAGTTCCAATTACATAACTTTCAAGGAAAAACACATTATAGTGATTGTAATTAGCATAACATGAACAAGCAGAGTTCACCAGTTGTTGATTTGTGTATTCTGTTGATCCTTTGAGAGATTTATTTTGAGAATCTTGTATTTTAAAAACAAGAGGTAGTGTATGTTGTCTCATCTGTTTTGCTTGGGAGATGTATTTTTAGAACTACCAGTAATGTTCTATGGTGGATTTTGACTCTGTCCTTGTATGCTCTCATTATTCTTCTTGATATGCTCTCTCTTTTTTATCCTTTAGAGTACGCAAGCATTACTTTCTTCCTCTAAATTGAATGCCCTGGTTATACTTGGCATAATGGTTTGCTTGTTGGAAACTGGTGGCAATGGTTTGGGAGATCAACATAATTTTTTTTACTGTGATTTGGGGTTACCTGTTGGTCTTTAGAAGGTGAGTTTTTGATGGTAGTGGAGGCAGTAGCAGCACTTGTGGTTGCGGTGCCATTGCAGCAGTCTCTCTTCATCTTTACCTTCTTTCTACTCTCTTCTTTCTTTCCTATTGTTTAATTATATGTTAAGGGTGGTTTTGGGTCTTATCTGGCTATGAGTTCCATTTTAACCTAATGGTGGTGGCGGTGCTATGGTGGGACAACAGAAGCTTTTATTCCCCCTTTCTGTACTTTGTAATTGAATTGGCCTACTGGAGCAGGGGTTACTTGGAACATGATGCAAGCCAAAGTCTAGCTACAGAATTCGTCTAAGTCAGAATTAAGGAAAAACGAGGAAGTACATACTCGCCCAATTTTGTCTATAGATGATGTCAATGTTTGACTGAAATCAGACTATGTTAACAAGGATGGTTTGGGATAGATTAATTAAAGAAGAATTTAGAAGAAAACTGACACCGATTTGGGACATCTTGGAGAGGAAATGAAGAGATGCAATATTTTTGGGAGGGTTCTAATTTGTTACAATATTTCTGTAACGACCCAAGTCTCGATACCCAAGCCGTTAGCTTGCATACTGTCCGCTTTGGGTGGGCCTATGCCCATTTATCCCTCATGGCTTTCTGACGCGTCCCCCAGGATTCGAACCCAAGACCTCCATCATATGGGAGAGTTAAGTTGAATTCTGGTACTAATTGGACAAGTGAGGGGTAAGATGGGCCTATGCCCTCCCAAAGCGGACAGTACGTACGATATGATAACGGTTTCGGCGCAAGGTCGGGTCGTTACAAAAAAAGGCGCGTTTTTTTGTAACGACCCAAGTCTTTATACCCAAGTCGTTGGCTTGATCCGATTGGTACCATAATTCAACTTAACTCTCCCATATGATGGAGGTCTTGGGTTCGAATCCTGCGGGACGCGTCAGAAAGCCGTGAGGGATAAATGGGCATAGGCCCACCCAAAGCGGATAGTACGCAAGCTAACGGCTTGAGTATAGAGACCTGGGTCGTTACAATTTCCACATGAAATGTGAGGGTTCAAGTAATTGTATCATGACCTTCATTTAGAATTCCTCTGTATGAATCAAAAATTTGGGGCATGGCCTATTAATGATACATTTTGAGTTGATCTTTGGTACCCTGTTCACATTGGATGGTTAATTGAAGATCCGTGACCTGAATTAACTGGAAGATATTTTTCGGCCCATAGGTGGATTTGAGAGAAATAGGGCTGACTTACGTGATGGTGTACTTATTCCATTACATTGGAGCTGCTGCTTTGTGATATTTTGCTCAGTTCTTTTATGTTAGGTGCAAGCAAAGAATTTCTGTGAACCTGAAGAGCACCTCTCGTCTGTTGCAATGAATTAGTCATCAGAATCATGTTTGTCTAGTTTAAAGAACTCTTTTATGGACCAAAATTGGGGTGCAGTTGAACTTAAAATTGGATGGAATCTGGAATTTAGTGAGTATATGCTCTTAATGTTATTTAGGCATAGTTTTTACTGTTGAAAGCTGTGTTGAGATAGTAAATTTTTGTCTGGATGTGGACTTCAATTCTCAATTGGACACAAAATTTTGATTTGAGAATTTTTCTTGATGTTGAATGATTCACACGATCAATATTTGTTTGCATACAGATACCTAACTGATCAACTGATGAAAGTCCAAATTGTAAATGAGGTTAACAAGGTAACTTCTTTTCCTGTAGCTTGCACTTGCACTGCTTCTGCATGGTTAAATTTATTTTCTGGCATGTATTGGTGGTGTACTTCATATTGTTTTTAATCAGATCTTGTTTTATGTTTTACAGGATTTTGTGATTGAAGCATTGAGATCAATTGCAGAACTGATAACTTATGGAGACCAACATGATGCAGCCTTTTTTGAGTGGGGCACAGTCGCTATCTATCTTTGATACATATATAGACTTATAAATGGCATTTTTTTAACTTGTTTATATTCACGTGGTTCCTGTTCAGGTTTTTTATGGAGAAGCAAGTCTTGGGGGAGTTCGTGCGCATATTAAGAATTAGTAGAACTCTGTTTGTTTCTCTTCAACTATTACAGACAATGAGCATTATGATCCAAAATTTAAAAAGTGAACATTCCATATGTAAGTTATCATTAGAATGTTGATGAGAGCGGCATTTTATTTATCTCCCATCATTTTTTATTATCTAATACTGTTCTCCTTGGATTTTGCAGATTATATGTTTTGCAATGAACATGTTAACTGCCTAATAACTTATTCATTTGACTTCCAGAATGAAGAACTGTTGTCTTACTACATATCCTTTCTAAGGTTGTATCTTGTTTCAGAATTCAGTTCTTGTCATGTGTTACTTTTGCAAGAATTTCTGATCTCTTCCCTTCTTGATATGGATTGTTTGTGTTTTTGGAATGAGACAGAGCAATAAGTGGAAAGTTGAACAAGGACATGATTTCTCTACTTGTCAAGACTCGTAATGTAAGTTTGTCAATCTATATTTTTTCTCTGGAGTACTTTGATATGTTTTTGTTGATGTCATCTGTGCTTTCTTTTCTAATGGTATTGATCGCTTTCTTTGGCTGTTAGGTACTCATGGACATTCAACATTTGATCTAGACTTTACCCAAACCAACAATTCAATGTAATTTTATTAACTTGTAATAGAAAGTGAAAACCATGGCCATAAATACTGTAGCCCTCAATTCCGAGCACAGGACTAAGTGCATAAGCTCAAATCAAGTCTCATAGTGGGCAATCAGAGGTCTGAGTTCCACAAATATTCATTAACTTAATTCACGAATTGAGGTACAATGAATTTTCCAATTATACTAAAAGAAGCAGGTAGCTTAATAACCAGACCTGCTCAATACCTATAAGAAAATATTTGAAACTCTGAAATTCAGAATATAGAATTATCTCCATGGTCGAACTAAAAGCTTGAACTCCATCTTCCAAGCTTTCCGAATGAGCTGAAATCCAAATATATGAAATCTATTAGTATTTGAGTGAGCAAAATCAGAGCTTAATAAGTAGATCATAACCTATTTAGCGGAATAGGCTTGACATTACGAATTATTTATGCAAAATGGTTCCAAAAATTTCCAGAATTACTGCTTTTCAATAGTAAAACTTCATAAAATTATTTGTGTAAAAAAAGGTGTGACAATAGCTATTTCGGCGCATGAATACATTCAACAGCCTTCAATTAAAACTCAATCTCTCTATCATCTGTTGGTTCCGTAGAAAATGTAAATTTGTTTTCTATATTCTGTCAAAGTTTGTTACGACCATATAGACAGATGAAAATTCATAGAGAAAGGAAAACGATCTCCCAAAATCTGCCCCTAAAGCCCGTCTTAATTACCAGCAAAACAGATCCCAAATAAATTGAGACAATTCGAGAAGCTGGTGGGTTAACTTCTAGTACCAACCCAAGTAAATTAACGTTGCCAATACTTGATCGGTACTAATTCCCATGCCTCCATTGATTCCTTGAGTTATGAATGCAGTTAAAGATATACTTATAGAGAATTACTACATGATCTCCTTGTTTTAGCCAATAATGTAGTGTGTGCATCTTCCCGCCATTTGGAGCTTGGTATCATGTGTACTAAATACTTTTGGCATAGGTAGATTAAATCGGGCGTCTTGTTTCATTGGAAATAGTTTCTTATCCTTCTGATTTTCTTATCCTTCTGATAAAATTTAAACTCCTGAGCACATCTTTGAACTTCTCACAGGTCAAAGCAAAAAAGAAACTAATTGTTATGGATAAATTGCGTGGATTTGTTGTAGTTATCTGAGTAGGGGGATAATTTGAACTTTTGGGGGTTTTATCTGCTTACTGGGAAATTGAGCGGGTCCTGTTTCCTAGGCATTTTTCGTGTTGTATGCTCACAAGCGATATTGATGTGACGTGATAAAATTGGTGGAACAAGATCAGTACTAGCCTAGTAGGAGTCAAGCGATGAGATCAGAGTTGTTTTGATCTGTTCAGATAGGATCCTGGTTTGACTTAAGAGATACCATGGAGGATGGCATGGATATGTGAGTATAAGCACAAGATGTATTGGAGAAACTAAAATTAGTTGACATTGTGAGAAGTGTGGGACTGCTTATAAAATGTGTAAATGAAACCAGTACACAGCTTGGTGAGTTGGTGTTCTAGACTGTCATGGGGAATGTTGTTGTTCTCTCTCTCTCTCTCTCTTTTGGATTATAAGAATGAAATGGAGAAAAATATTGGCCAAAGATTAGGCTAATTGGCTGAGAATACCCAACTGGGAAATAAGAAAGAAATGCTATGGTTGATTTGGAGACATGGAAGGTTTTTGGTCTGCATACGATTTGAGATGTGTAAACAAAACTGCCAAGAACATTTCTAGGAGGCATGATATATAATTTAGGATGTAGACCACTGAAAGAGTAAACTTTATAACTACACGATGCTGGACATTGGAAAATAATTATTTTGAAGAAAAAGCCCTCTTGATGCCCAGCTAACCTCTTCCAACCTGGCTTTGTAGCTGTATCTAATTTATGCATTTATTGTAGTTGGGCATGGGAGCTCAACCCATGTTTATCATAACTATTTTTCTTGGTTAAGAAAGCGAAAATAACATGGATATGGATTTAGTTAATTTACCTTTTTTAATAGAAGTCTTTACATTCTCTCTTTCCCTTTCCTCATTTCTTTTGTTACCTTTCATTTAGGACGAAGTAGTTTCTTTCCCACTTTATGTTGAGGCGATACGGTTTGCCTTCCACGATGAAGGCATGATTCGAACGGCTGTTCGTGCTTTAACGCTGAATGTTTATCATGGTCAGTTCTGCTTTTTTGGCTTTTTTACTTCTTTCTTGTCATGGTGATGAATCAAGTAACTTTTATCTACATCATCTATCAAACTGTAACCTTAAACTGGTTTGCAGTTGGGGATCAAGCTGTTAATAAATTTGTAGCCAGTAACCAGCATGCAGATTATTTCTTAAACTTGATCAAATTTTTCCGGGAACAATGCATCAGTTTCAGTGTATTGGTTTCAAATGCTTCAAAGTAAGATTTGAAATTTTGTTTTCCTTGCAGTAATCATCTTCATTAATTATAGATTACATGAATACTTGTTTTTTACACAGGAATCTACGTACTGAATCAACATCTTCCCTGCTTTCTGCTATCGATGAGATTGAAGATAATCTCTACTATATTAGTGATGTTATTTCTGCCGGGATTCCTGAAGTTGGGAGGTTAATAATGGATGGCACGTTGACACTTCTGATATTTCCATTGATTCTTCCTTCTTTGAGGAAGGGTGATGTTAATGTATAAATACTTACTCATCTAACCTATTTCTTCTGCAGTTATTAGTTTTTCTCAGATTTTTGAACATTCGCTGAGCTTTTTGATGATTTTTTAATGCACTGCTAAGTTTACCCTAAAGCCATTTTTGTAACTTTCTGAATTTAGATTCAGGAAACAGGACTTGGTGCCGCCACTTCTTTATATTTACTTTGTTGCATTTTGCGCATTGTCAAAATCAAAGATCTGGCAAATACTGTTGCTTCTGCTCTTCTCTGTCATATAGAGACCTTTGCTTTGAGATCTGAACTCAAACTCAATGGTCATATGTCTGACCATGGTTCTCCAGATGCCAGCCAAAATGCAGAGGAGAGTAATATCGGCCCAGATTCTTATAATAAAAGTCTCCAAGTTACCATTCCGTATCCTATTTCTACTTCGCAAAGTCGAACTGCAGACGGTAACTTGCTACAACATTTTACACCAAGGTAATCAACTAAATTTATCACATCTAATGTCATAGATATGAATGGTATTTCCTTCTCATATTTTGGAAATTTCATGTACAGTAGCTTCTTCTATCTTAAATATAGTGCTCGTCCTTAAAATTCATTCAATTGCACTAGGAATACTTCACCTGAATACTGGTTATTTTTAGTTTGCGATCACTGGATGATATGTGATGATGATGCTACATTGGATGCCCAAGTTACATTGACAATTTGAGTTGAAAAATATGGCGTACTTGATTGTTGATGTCATGATTTTCTTTCCCTTTTTTTGGGTGGGGGTTTGGGGGGAATAAGGGAAAACATGGAACCTCTTGAATTTGATAAGTTTAATGCTTTCAAGGTGCCACTGAACTTTACTGTCTGAGATGAGACTTTGGCTTACAAACAGATATACCTCTTCTGGAACTACAAAATGATGTTAATCACATATATTTTGAAAATAAAATCCATTTTGCAATGCAATGTTCTTTCTTTTCTTACACCTAAAAAATGGAATGAATTTCTTTGTACTAATCATGGAGAAGATTAATAACTGTTTAAGAATCAATTATATTTTTCGATGCTGAATTATGTAGGGAGGCCTTGCTTTCTTTTGTTACCTGCGGGGATGATGTTCAAGTATCAGGTTCTTTAAGTCTACTGGCTATATTGTTGCAGACTAAAGGTTGAACATTGACCTTATTTTATCTGCTTATCTGATGCTTACGTACAATGCACTTATCAATGTGTGCACCTGCAGAACTGGATGAATCAATGTTAGATGCTCTAGGCATCCTTCCGCAACGCAAACAACATAAAAAGCTCCTGCTGGTATGTGATAGTGATATTTTTTCATAGCATTCTGCTGGTAATTTTCTGATAAAGCAATTAGTGTTAAAAAAGAATTTTTCTATTTGTGCTTTCTGTTTGGGTAAAATGAAGAATTATCTTCAGCTTCTTTTCCATTATCTTATTGCGCAATGGGCGTGAATGGAATTCTTACTTGTTTATATGAGATGATTATCCCTGATTAGAAGGCAGTCAAAGTATATCAAACTCATATTTTCTGCTATGGTAGCTGTGAATGCAAGATAAATGTTTCTTCACAATTACCTATCAAAAAAAAAAAAATGTTTCTTCACAATCAGAGTTTCATCTCTAGCCAAATAAATGAATCCGTGCTAGTGCGCTCTGCCGCTCTGGCTATCTTATTAGATGACTTCTAAATCTATTACGTAGTGCAGTGCTTCATGTCCATTCTAGTCATCATGGTACATTTTTTTTTTTTGATAGATAATTGTAAAATTTTATTAATCAAAGAAGAATACATCATGGTACATTATTGTCAGCCATCTTTCCCTGTTGACTTATTCCTAACCCTGTACCAGAAATTTCTATGTGTGTGAGAGAATAGTGTGTATTGCTTAGTTATGTGTATGCTGGCTGAAGTAATATGCACCTTTTTGTTGTGTGATTACAGCAAGCCTTGGTTGGGGAAGAATCCGGAGAAGAGCAACTTTTTTCTTCTGAAAGTACTGTGGTAAAAGATGGCATTTGCAGTGAACTTGATATCTACCTACAGAAGTTGAAGGTATGAATGTGGTTGCATTTGCTCCTTTACTTAAGTCATTTATTTCTCTTTCTGAACTTAATTGTTCTTATTGCATGTTGAAACATTCCATCTAGTTGATAACTAAGATACAATTCTTAAAATCACTTCTAAATTTTATAATCTCCTTATTCATAGTTAATTTACTTGGAAAGAGTTACCTATGGAAACTTTTCATTGCATTCGTTGTAAATCTTTTGGCTGATCTTGATGTTTACATGTTCTAAAGGGTAGTTACACGAGGTCTTTATCCTTATCACATCGTCAACGAATTGTTACAAAAGAATTTTCCAGCCTCTTTAGGAATTTTGTTTTAGTCCTGGATTGCAAAAATCATAAATTTCTGAGCCAAGAATCATAGAACTCATTCACAACCACTGAAGTGGGATAACTCTCTGGCATTCATCTTAGCTTGGCTTGGTAATTGTAAACTGTTTTCTGTTTTTGTTGACACAAGCAGAGCTGAGTGAGTTTGTTTACATTATGACATTAAATGTCTTGAATCGCAAATTGAGGAGATTTATAAGTTGTATAATAATTTGTGTTTACTGCATTAAATGTTACTCAAAGTTGGTTTTCTTCTAGTTTGAACAAGTCGCAATGGAAAATAAGATCTATATTGAATCAATCTTGATCAACAGGGACAGTATGGACTTTCTTGTTCAAGCCCAATGGCTGGAGCAAGCCCCCGTGTGCATAGATTTCAAGTATGTATCTACCTCCAAGATAGTTATGGTACAATTGTTGGTTTTTCTGACTTGCTAAGGAAATAATAGCTAGGACATTGCCCATTTTATTGGGACATATATAGCCCTGCCACCTCATTTAGGATGGGTAGTTTTGTAAATAGGAAGTAAAATATAAAAGAGGAAGAACAAACCTGCTTTGTTCTACAAATAATTCAAGTTCCTGTGAGGCTTTCCTCTGCCATCCATCACAGCTGAAATGACTTCATTTTGTTTAATAAAGAGCCAATCAAAATGAACAGAAACTGACTGGATGTCGGTTAAAGAGAAAATAACTGATTAAATGCAGAGCCATAATTCTTTAATTTTCACGAGGGTGAATGGAGACCGATTCTTCGCTGACAGACTGACAGGGAGGGAAGGAGGGAAGCCTCCTGTTTTTTGCTTGATGATATTTGTATGTACACCATTTTTTTAAAGCTTATCTATGACATTTACTAAAGCAAATACATATTTGTAACGTTAATTTGGGTTTAAAACAATCTCGACAATGACACAATTTGAAATCGACTAATCATTTCTATAAAATTTGTTTTAACTTAAAGTGTGGAAGTGGTTTTTACAAGTTATTTATAATTACAAAAGTGGTTTTAATGTTCAAGTTTCATTTTTCTGGAGATATCCTTTTCTGTTTTGTGTTACTCCCGTATGTACCAACAGCTGACCAATAATCAGTTCCTAATTGACTCAATTTTTCTTTGCCTGGTTAGTTATAATAAAACCCTGTTCTAGAGAGTTTTATTCTTAGCCAACTTAACTCTTTTGTTAAATTATGTAGAAATGAAGCTGAAGAATAGAAATTAAGCAATTAATAAAGATTGCTGCAGATTTTTGAAAACAATTTTGAAGTATTATGTTAAGAAACAGTTTTGTTTTCTGTTAGTACCTGAATCTTTAAAGCCAAAAATAATTTGCAAAAGAAAGCCTTGAGAAGGAATTTGATTTGGTGGTTATTCTAATAGAAGCGAAAAAGTTAGAAGAAATCCCAACATGAATATTAATTATTGGGTCTTTTTTAACAAAAGACAGTAAGGCCCTATTTGGCCTCCATTTTTTGGTGTTGAAAATTTGTAGAATAGTGATTGATGGGAGTAAGGGTGACGGGTGGTGGTTGTTGCAAAATAGAAGAGAGTTTTGCAGGGCTCAACGGGGGCCGTGACGGCGAGGAGAGAGAAAAAAGAGCCTGTTTGGCCCCCATTTTTTGGGGTTGAAAATTTGTAGAATAGTGATTGATGGGAAAATGTGTGGTGGAAAAGTTTTAGATTTGTGTGTAATATTATTTTATTTGAGAATGTGTGGTTGAGATGAAGAGAGAGAAAAAATTAATGTAATGGAATGAGAAAAAATGGGGCTCAAACGGGGGCTAAATAGCTCAGTCGTCAAGAGCTAAAATATTGAGTTCATGAATATTCTACAGGTGTTTCCTGAATTGAGTATACTAACTAGTTATGCCACCATGCCTTAAATGTGGCTACCTGGTAATACCCACAATCTCCAGGAATCTACTAGCCTATGGAAATAGTTCAAAGATGCAGCGAACGTTCGGATGAATAGTGAGAATACCATAAAATGAGATAAGAGTACAAAAACTAGAAAATTTGAAGTTACTGCTCTTTTCATTTATGAATTCACGGTTTCTTATGCTATCAATCGGGCGAGACATTGAACTTATCTTAATATTTATCATGGTGTATAAAAAACTTTCCAAGTACTTTATCAGTAAATTTGAAGAGAAGAAGTATCCCATGTCCGCTAGTTTTTAAGAACAAGTATCTGCCAATCGTATATTAAAATTGTACTTTTTTTCATTTTTTAAAAGTATTTTTCACCCATTGAAATTGACTATCAAGTATTTACTGTTTAAGAAATTGCCGGGTATATAAATAAGATTAATTACACCAGGATTTACACGAAAACATGTGCCAGAATGCCGAGATAATATATTCCAATGGATACTTGGAGAACACTGCTTGGATGATTGAATGTTTCATATGGAAATGGAAATATCAGTTCAAAAAATTAGTTAATTTCTAGAAGCTAATTCGTTTATCCTCGATACATGTTTACCTTTGTTTCTCCAGTATTCAAAGCTAATATTTTTTGTAAGATAAGTTTGTAAGGTCGGACCAGTTGTCAATATTTGGGCTAGGAACATGATTAAGTGCTTTGTATGCAGCTCTAGCATTATTTTAAAGCTCATATTGTAAAAATTGGATGATAAAGAGAATTTGTTGATTTTCTTAAAAATCAATTGTTGCTCTCAATTCCTACTTTAATTTGTTACATAGAACTGTCAATTGATTAAGGACTGAAGCCAAGGACAGACAACAATCTGATAGAGGCATGCAATGCATATTAATCTGGGGAAATCTGAGGCTATTCCAGCGGGAGAGGTTGCTAACGTGGATGAGTTGGCCGGCATTTTGGGATGTAGGGTTGCGCATATGCCTATTTCGTACTTTGGGCTCCCTTTTGGGGCACGGTTTAAAAGTAAACATATTTGGAATGAAATCATTGAAAGGATGGAGAAGAGGTTAGCGAGGTGGAAGCGTATGTACTTTTCGAAGAGTGGCCGCCTTACTCTCATTAAATCCACTCTCTCCAACATCCCTACTTATTGTTTGTTGTTGTTTCCTATTCCTGTTATAGTGGCACGAAGATTAGAAATGATTCAAAGGGAGTTTTTGTGGGCAGAGATGGGAGAGGAGAGGAAACTCGATTTGGTCAAGTGGGGTGTGGTTTGATCTCTTGTTAGGGTGGGGGGATTGAGGAGCCTGGTTCTGTTTAATAAATCTTTGTTGGGCAAGTGGCTGTGACGACTTGGAGTGAAGATGGTGAGTTTTTGTAGAAAAATTATTGGATCGAAGTATGGTGTTATGGAGGGGGGTTGGTGCTCAATAGACGGTCGCGGATCCTATAGGGTGAGTCTGTGGAGGTATATCCGACGAGGATGGAGTGACTTTCGAGATAATCTGTCCTTTGAGGTGGGAAATGGCAATAACATCAGATTTTGGGATGACCGTTGGTGTGGTAATGATCCGCTAAAGATACGATTTCCTGCTTTGTATCGCATTGCCTTGGAGCCGTCTACTATGGTGAGTGAGGTACTCACCATTCACAACGGAAGTCACAGTTGGGATACTATCTTTGAGAGGGGTCTACAGGATTGGGAATTAGATGATTATGCGTTGTTTTTGACCTCTTTGCATGAGGTGCACATTCAGTTTGGAGAAGGTGATCGTAGCAGGTGGAGGTTGGCACAAAATGGTATATTCTCAGTTCGCTCTTACTTTAGATCCCTATTAGATCCTGTACAGAGCTCATTCCCATGGAAGAAGGTGTGGCAATGTAAATTGCCCCCTCGGGTGGCTTTTTTATTGTGGACGGTTGTGAGGGGGCAAGCGTTAACCGTGGATAACCTTCGAAGAAGAGGTTTNTGTAGGAAGGATGGGGAGACGATTGATCACTTGTTCATCCATTGCGATGGTGTTCGGTGGCTTTGGAACAGCATTCTTGTTTCCCAACATTTGGATTGGGTGATGCCTAGGCGTATTGAAGATGTGGTGCAGGCATGGAGGAGGAAATTTCGTGATAAGGATAGTAGGATTGTCTGAGATCTTATTCCGGGATGCATTGTATGGTGCGTGTGGAGAGAAATGAATAGCCGCTGTTTTGAAGATCAAACAAGAACTACAGAGCAGTTCAGTGAATTGTTTTTTCTGACTTTGTATAGTTGGTTTAATATCGTGTCTAATATCCATATAGAAGGGTTGCCTAATTTCATATCGTTTCTGTATTGTTTAAATTGATAATACATTCCCCATGTATTATCCCTGATTTATAAATAAAATCTCTGATTACTTATCAAAAAAAAAAAAAAATTCTACACGCTTTGCATCTTCGACTGTTGAGGATTATCTAACAGCAAATTCAATAGACTGATTTTATGGATTTGGTATCAGCCTGCTCTTAGAGCTGCTAGATCTATGGAGTTGGTAGCTATAGTTTTCTCATTTCTATATCTTTTTAAATAGTATTGTAGTAAAAATCCTAGCAGCAGGATTTATGATATAAAAAGGGAAATGTATTTTTCCCCCAAAAACTTCATATTTATATGATGATGAAAACTGCCCTGCTTTTCGTGCCTTTGGTTTAGGGAACTCAAAGGAAACTCCTCATTCCTTGGTCTTTTGTTTTACAAGTACCATTCTTGAAATGTATATCAATTTTTTTAGGTACTCGATGCGTTGGTCAGTCTTCTCTGCAGGTCAAACATCTCCGCGGAAACATTATGGGACGGTGGTTGGCTTTTGCACCAGTTGCTACCTCATAGCAAGGCGGAGTTTAATAGCCATCATGCTAGATTACTCAGAGTAAGTTAATATTAGTGTTAGCATTGCTGGAGCATGATTAAGCTTTTTGTTGACAATGGGACTAGGTGAATTACCATACTTGTTCATGAAGATATTGTTAATTCTATTTGTATGATTCTCCATGTATATGGTTGTATTGGAATCTGACTAAAGAAAATTCTCTGGCCATTTTAAAGGGTTTATGCAAATTAGTCTCTTCTATTCTTTAGATTTTTTCCCCTTGGAATTTCTTTCTCAATTCTTACACTTTTTTATAATCTAGTTCTATGGCAAGCTGATTTATCTTTATGGAATAACTTGGTAGTCCTTTTGTGTGCTTAGGATTCATTGCATAATTGTACTCGTCGTCTTTTAGAGGATACAAGGGGAACCTGGCCAGATATGTTAGTAACTGTTCTTTGTGATGAGTGGAGAAAGTGCAAAAGAGGTATGTTATTTTATTTGTTATAATTCAAGAAAGACTTTTTGTTGTGAGGTTTGATAGCATAAATTTAATAAAGAAGTATTACGTGTAGTAATTGAGGCATCTTCTCTTCGAAAAGATCCAATGTGTATGCTCTTGCCACCGTACAACCCTGCCTCAGAAGGTATGATTTTCGCTGCCCCCATTTCTCCCTTCCTCTCGCTGCACTTATATACTCTGTACTGGTTTTTTAGACTTTAGATAGGTTGGAGGATATTAGTAGGAATTCTGATATCCACATGTTCTGTTTTTTGTTCTAAGAACATATCTTACTTTTGTTGTCTTGACAGAGCTGGTTTCCGGTGAATCATCCTTTATTGCTGGTGAAAGAATGTGTGAGACAGTGAAGGTGAATCATACTTTCATTATGATGTCTTTCTAAATTATAAGAAGCACGGGACATTTAGTGTACGACTTGACGTGCTTAATTTAACAATCAAACTTCTAAAAAACAGCATCGTCAATCATAAACTCGAATATTTTATAGATGTGCACATGTTAAGTGTTTTTTCATTTTCATTACCATCTGCTCCTCTGCTAATAATTATTCACTTTCCTATAGGTTTTTGTACTTCTCCATCATGTCCACATTTTCTCGCTGGGCAGAATTTTGTTAGATCAACCGCCTCTTCTCTCTCAAGTTGACATTCCAGAAGAATCCCGAGCAAAGAATGCTGGTGTAAATCCATCAGGACCAAAACCGGGCATTGAAATAAATCTTGGTAATTTCAATTTTGATATTCATATTTAATGGTTGAAGTTTGATGGACTTTAAGTTCTAGTATCTCTTTTTGTGCCTTGTAAAAAGTAGGCATCATATTCTTATCTGCACAGACATGTAGCAATAAAGATTTTCAATATTAATTTGCTCTTCGGTTGTGTTATGTAGTGGATGCAGTGCCCTGTCGAATTGCATTTGAGAGGGGAAAAGAACGTCATTTTTACTTTCTGTCATTCTCTATGGGAAGCTCTGGGTGGGTTGCCCTTGCAGAGGAGTTAGTTACAAAACCACATCATGGAGTCATCCGGGTTGCAGCCCCATTGGCAGGGTGTAATGTGAGTAATGCTTTCCTGCTGTGCCTAGGAGATCTCCTTAGAACTAGTTTTTACGTTATTGAAGTAACTGTTGGTGAAATTCATCAAGTGTAAGAAAACACAACAAATTCAAATGGTTAAATTCTGAAGTCAAGGAATTGTGTCCATAGTAAAATACATTCTCTAAAATTTCGTAAACAATGTTTTACTTCAGCCTAGAAGAGATGATAAGCATCCGAGATGGCTGCACCTCCGAATTCGCCCATCCTTGTTCTCCTTCACTGATGCTGCTATGCATTCTGCACATGGGAAAGTTAAATTAAGAGCTTTGGTTGATGGAAGGTGGATTCTGGCATTTCGGGATGAGGAATCTTGCAAGGCTGCTTTGACAATGACTCTCGAAGAGATCAGATTACAGAGCCATGAAGTGGAGAGGAGACTAAAACCTTTGCTTGAACTTGAAAAAGATTTAGATTCTTCAAATCCTACTCAGTCTATGGAGGATAAGTCTTCATGAGAATCATCACCTGATTCTTGGCAAATTCTTACAAAACCTTTGCTTGAACTTGAAAAAGATATAGATTCTTCAAATCCTACTCAGTCTATGGAGGATAAGTCTTCATGAGGATCATCACCTGATTCTGGGCAAATTTTTACCAGTGAGCTTCCATCTTATTTTATATTTTTTTCCCATAAAATAATTTGTACACAAGGGGTGGAAATTTCTTCTGGCCACCCATTTGTTTATGTCCAAAACGAAATTCTAGGTATATAAAAGTATAGTAAAGCATTCAATCAGTGCCATTCTTTGTATACATCCTTTTAGCTCTTTCATGTGTAGATTTTCTGTCCCCTCTTCCCTTTCACAATCCACTTAGGAGTTGCCATGTTATTTGTACCCTCTTCCCGTACCTTCTGGCAGTTTACGTGTTGCTTTTTAGCTCATTTGTAAGCTTAGTGAAATCTTGCTCTGCATATTGAGCTAATGCGAGTCAAGTTTCATGCTTTTGTCCTCCTTGCTTGGGTCCAAATATTAGTTCTAAAGAATGATGCTCCTTAATCAGAAATATGTTAACTTTTTTTTATTTATATATGTGGTTTATTCCTTTGAAGCTAAAGGTGGCCAGCATGTGAAGGTACAAAATGTATTTGATAGGATTCGATCGGTATGTTATGTCTGATTGAGACAGTTCTGAGCTGCGACAATGTTTGAAATTGAAACAGTTTATTACATCCAGTTTTAGCTTTTGTACAATCTCGAAGCATATGGAGAACTAGACATGCACAGTACACTTGATTTTTAGCTATAATGTGTGTGATGGTGCAGGCATGGCGCTTGCTTTGTAGACAATCATGGGCGTGTGCAACTGAAATGGTGGCACCCCTTCAGAAATTCTATCAATTGAATTGATCATTCAAAGTTCCATTTAATCATGTAGATGTAAAGTGGCTGCATTATGTTAGTCTTAATTTCTAAGAACGTTATCTTTGAACGTGTGGCAAGAGAATCAAATTTACAGAGGACATTATTGGATTCTCGAGCTAACCTGATACTTGGAAACAGATTAGTTCTCTTTACAATCTGCTAGCTTCCTTTTAAGTACCTCGTTTTCCTTCCGGAGTTTCATTATCTTCTGCTTCAGTGTCTCCACGTGTTGATTTGAAGTTGAGTCTCGTTGCTGTTCAGCCAGCTTTGTTCTGCTCATGAACACTGCAGTGCACAGAGGAGACATCAGACGTATCGTCTATAATCAAGAGTAGATTTATAGAAAGAACTAAGTTTCTAACTTTTATTTTGATAGAATGGTTTAAACTAGAAACTAAGAAATCTTCCAGTGAGTAGGATGAAATATAAAGATCACCAGTTCTTGTTAAAATAATGGGCATTAGCATTTAGCACTCACATTCTTTTTCCAAATCCTGAAGCTTCTTGTTCAATTCATTTTTCTCTTCTTGCTCAATCAGCAACAAATCCTTCAAACCCTGAATCTCGTAGTGGTCTGTCATAGAACAATTAGCAGAACACTCAGAACTTAGAACAGAAGAAATTGACAATTTGAACTTATCAAGCTTGCTTAGGACCTCACATCTGGATTCTACTTCGGAACAAACTTGCTCCAATCTTCTTGTCAGCACATCTATATGGTTCTTGTGTACAGCTAAATCTTGGTGGAGCTGATTCGTAGCTCCTTCATTTGTCACCTTTTGCATTTGGAATCCTCTGATTTTATGCCAACATCGAATCTCAGTACAAAATTCATAGTCCTCCAACAATTATCTTATTTTTGTTTACTGAATGGCAATTCACCTGATCTGAGATTCCAAGTCTGCAATCTTTGTCACGTAATCTTGTTTAAGCCATTCAACTGCATTCTTATATTCCTGATTACACATCTAAACTGTCAAAGTCCAATGCAGATTGTACAATGCAATAATGCTTAATACGGCATTTACCAGTACTACTAAAGCTTGAAACGTTTATATATCACCAGCAAGATACGCATATAAAAAGATCATCCAGAAATGTTCTCCTTTTCACATTCCTGTTGCCGAAGGAATAATCTACCATTTATGTTACACCATACATGTATCTAGTTATACCCAGGGGCAGAGTCAGCACCCTGCGAACCCCTGTAGCCGCCCGTACTGGAACGATGGCCACTCGTGTTCATTTGGATTATAGGATCCGCCGCTGGTTATACTAATAGGTATATAAATTACAGTGCAAAGACTCTAGGGGACGACACTCCCGAGGTCCGTCCCATTCTTACATACTCAAAAAGATTGCACGGATAATGAAAGGATAATGGCAGTGGTAGCATAATTTTCAATCGAAAATAGAGCGAAAAAGCTCACAATTTCCTTTTGGGAAAGTTCATCTGTCACTCTCTTGAAATCCTCTTTCAAGCTTCCATAATTGGTCCGAAGTTCAATCTGCTATCTCGTTTCAATATATAAATCAATCAATTTCAAAACATAAAATCATAATTTTATCACTTTCATATATTAAATAGAGATAAAAACATAAAATTAAAAGAAAAGGTCACCTGAGCAGCAAATTTGTGAAGCGATTTCGTGTATAGCTTTGTCAGACGCTCATTCTCTGCCACAAATTTAAATTGAATAAAAAAATGAAAATAAAAAGATTTTGAAAAAACTATCATTTTCTTCTGAAATAACAGTAATTTTGTAATAATCGCCGAACGAGAGAATTAAAATACTAAGTGTAACCTGATTGAAGAAAGTGGACAGTGGATTCTAGGGCTTCCCGCTTCTTGATTTCGGCATTGCAGGTGGATTTTAGGGATTGGATTTCCGTTATTCCGTCTTTAAATTCCTGATTAATTCATGTTAAAAATGAAAAGTATGGATGGATTACAATCAAATTAAGTATGCATTTATGCTCAGGTGAGGTGATTACATTATGGATTTGATCCAAGGAGCAAAGCAGTTCCTCCAATGCCTCGTCACTAGTTGCCGCCATCTCAACTGCATAAAAAATGTGACAAAACTGACATTCAAAAATTGAAAATCTTAAAGAGCGTGTTTGGTTAATCTTGAGAAAAGCAATCCTTCTCTAAAAAGGTCGGATTAATTAGTTGAATGTGTCAAGTGTTAATTTGAACTTAAAAATGTATTTTAATGGTCACTGAACTTCGGCAAGTGTTACTGCTTTACAAATGAAATTAAAAATATATCCTAATGATTTCTAAACTAAGCACTGTATTACCCATCATTACTCAGGTGGAAACATTGGTTAGATTCAACAAACGGTGTCGACTTGAGTGATGGATGGGTAGCATAATGCATAATTCAGTGATCATTGAGATATATTTTTAAGCAATGCATAATTCAGTGACTATTGCGATACATTTAAGTTTAGTTATTAAGTGGTTGCACTTAACGAAGTTCAGTGACCATTGAGATACATTTTTAAGTTCAATTATTAAGTAATAACACTTGACATAATTCAATATTCATTGAGATGTATTTTAAATTCAACTATTAAGTCCTTTAAATCGACCTCTATGAAAAAAGAAATGAAAGGAAAAAAGAAGAAACGGAAAATCAGAGACCTATAAATCGAATAAAAATAGAGTTTTTGTTAATGTCCATTTTGAAATAAATGGATGATATTAGTCTTTAACCGAAAGTTTTATTGTCCAAATGGAAGATATAGATACTAAATTGGCTCTGAATGATTCGCGGAGTCATTAAATCCCTGACTAGTATATCCCTTTCATCGGGAATTGTCCAAAAGTACGTTTGATTTTTGGATCAACTGGTATCAATTCACCGCATTTCGAACTTAGCATAAAAAGATTGAAAGAGAGACAATAGGAACATTAAAAGAAATTGACAAAGAAAAAATACATAAAGGTACAAAAATGTTAGAATTAGTGTCAAGGTAACTGAGGTCAATTTGATTTTTCATCTTCTTTCCATTCATTTTCTTTAGTTTCTCTTTTCATGGAGGTCGATTTGAGGGAAAAAGAAATTGTTACTACTTAATATCTGAACTTAAAAAATTATTGTCATTGAATTTTGTCAAGTGTTGTTATTTTATAACTGAATTTAAAAATGTATTTCAACGATAACTGAACTATGCACTATGGTCACTAAAACTATGCACCGTGTTATCTATCAATCACTCAAGCAGACGCCGTTTGTTGAATCTAACGAATTTTTCCATTATAGTGATAGAGGATAACACGGTGCATAGTTCAGCGACCATTGTGATACATTTTTAAATTCAATTATGAAGTAATAACACTTGACGAAATTTAATAACCATTGATTTACATTTTAAGTACAGTTATTAAGTAGCAACACTTGACAAAGTTCAGCAACCACTCAATTAATTAACCCAAAAAAGTCGGTAAAGATTTATTTTCTCAACTTAGCCCGTTTGTCTACATTATTAGAAAATGAGTTTTGGAATAGTAAAAATTTGAAGAATGTGTCGTTAAAATATAGAAATTCTTTTTTAATTTATGTTCAAAATATTTTATTGTATAGTTGAAAATGAGTTTGAGAAAAAAAATTGAAATAATGAGACAAACAGGTACTTAAACTTAGGCAGGTAGTTGAAGAAACTTTAGTAGTTGGATTTGTCATAAAACCTTAATGAATGAATCACACAAATGAATAATGCTTAGTAGCACTGTATGTGCCTAGAAGTTAGAACCCGTCTCATTGTCTAATGAATGAGTAATATTATTCATCATTAGTTATGTCAATTCCTTAATTTTTTTTCAATGGAGTTGGAATGCATTCTAATGCATTGAACAATGAATCAATGTCACTGCCACTAATGACGAATAACATCATTCCCGACGAACAAGGATGCAACAATGAAATAGTGGGGTCCGCCGCTCTGGTGCTTCTCTCCCCTTCCAACAGTAAACACAAGAAAATGACACTACTTCATATCCTAACTGTTCATACAAAAAAAATAAGAAAAGAAAAAGGAAATACTCAGTGATTTCAATATATATCATCTCATTTTAATGATAATCAATTACATTACAGAATTCTGTTTCTTTTCCAACAAGATGATTAGAGACATTCAACAAGTTCAATTTACCAATCAATCAAACAAGTGGAACTAGATTCTCACACAACTTTCAATAAAATTGCTAACCTTAAAGTATCGTATCACGGAAATACAACACAAGAACTAAACCCAAATCATTGGCCGTGTTACAATTTCAGTACATGATACGTGTGAATGTTGTTATTGTCTCTCCCAAAGGATTTGCTCATCAATCTTGTTCAGCATCCCACCATCAAGTCGTTTCCATGTCTTGATCTTCTCTACTCCATTCCATGATTTCTCCCCTTTCCCCAGTTCTGCCAAAATGATTCTTGCCCTCCTTGGCCACCCGGCAACACCATAACCGTGATATCCAAACCCTCCGCCATAACAAAACCATATGCCATCTAGATTTCCGCAGAAGTCATTCTTGTGATCGTGACCTATGAACACAGCCTTTACATCTCCCATAGAGACAAGCGTCTTCAGGACTCCAGAGTTTACGAATGAACATGCTACATATTCCTGATACGTGCCAACAATATCCTTAACAGGTCCTTGTTTAATTTCTGGAATGGGAATGTGAAAGAATGTCAATGCAGGGGAGACAGCAGAAAATTTGGAGGTATCTGCTGATTCTTTGATATCCTGCTTTTGTTCCTGTTAGTTTGTGACCTGCAACATGTTAATAATTCCCGACATGCAAAATGCTGTCTAATTCCAGTTAAAATGCAGGGGCATGGATAAAAGAGAATACTCTGTCTACACAAAACTTGGGCATTCCTATGAAAACTTGTTTTGCAGAATTTCAAGAGAGAGAGAGAGAGGTGCTGTCTAATGCGAGTTAAAATGCATGGGCATGGATAAAAGAGAATACTCTGTACACAAAACTTGGGCACTTAAGTCCTAGAAAGTGAAATAATGTTGCCTTGTAAACATGTACTTCAGCAATAACAACAAACTTTTCCAACAAAATCAGGTGTATTATTTTTGGTAGGCTCTCCTCCTGTAACATCTTCTACATGGATCACATTGCTCTTGTGAATAAAGACTTCCTTTGGGATCTATGAAAGACATGCCCAACCACCAAATAATCATTCTTTTGATTTATCCTCAATTGTGTCACCTCCAATCGTATATTGTTTCTTATTATATCCACTCTAATGTAGTCATGCATCCATATTAATATCCCCATTGCTATTATATTCATCTTATGGAGATGTGGTCCTTGAGCAACCAACACGTAGTACTATAAAGTATAGTAGTTAGTAAAATGACTCCTGTCAGACTTACATTTTACTTAATGGGTATTTTTCCATATATATAGAATCTATGTAACAAGTCTCCATTTCATCTAATCATTATAATACCAAAAATTACATTCCCTTCAAGTACACCTTCCTTATTATAGTCAAACAATTACTTTTTAGGATAACATAATCATCTATAGCGACAAAATGTTCATTTTTCCTGTGTGAGTACATATGTGTGTATAATGTATATAAAGGTGCAGAGGATGGGAAGAAGGGGGTGGGGAGATTGACTCAAGTAGTATGTTAATACATGGATGTATATGTATGTATGAAACATCCTTGCACTTGGCATTGTTATACCTGAATTTCTTTAGAAATACCACGAAGCCAACTAAGTTGAGATTCTTTAATCCATCCATAAGTTCGAAGTCCATCAACAACAGCTCTGTCCCCACTGTCAAGAAAATAGAGATTGAGGACAGTGCTATTGGCAAGATGGGATCCTGGAGCACCCCATACTCTCAGATTATAATTCCCGAACCCATCAATTTTTGGCACCCGGTTTTGTTTGGCTGGATCATATAGGTCTTCAGCTGTGGGAAAAGTTTGTGACAAAGAATAATCCATGAGAGAGATGAAAGACATCAATTCTTCACGATTCATGGTTGATTCTTGATCATGGTTCCCTAAAACGGCTGCCCAAGGAAGTCCAGATTTTATAACTGGGCTAAAAGCTCTGAACAGAGATTCAGCAGCATCAGTAGCACTTGTTCCAAATATGTTATCTCCTACATGCCAGAACGAGTGAGAAAGATCACTTGTATCACATGAAAATATGAACAAGATGCCAAGCACCAATTAAATCAAGTGTACTGGTGACATCAAGGGCAGAATGCTGATAAATCAGAGGACAAAAGTGCAAAATACAATTCATTCAAATGAACTTTTAAATTACACTAGAGCTTTGATCATTTATACTGAGCAAAAAAGAAACAAAGTACAGCCTTATTGAGGTTATGCCACTCAAAATTTTGCTATGTCTAACTGAAAGAAGAATAAAGCTTACAGAGGTTCAGTTTCCCTGGAGAAAAGATCTAGTGTGTCATATAAATGTGAAACGTGAAATAATATTCTATTATCTACTGAAATCCCATCACAAGATGCATGCATCTGTATGTTCGATGAAACTCTGCCAAATTGACAAGAAAGTAATTGTTTTTTTTATTTTTCTGAAATGATAAGCTTATTTTTGTAATCAGCAAGTTTTATGACATACTTATTGGCTCTAATTGCACATAAACTCTTCATTTTTGGAAAAAAAAAAAAAGTGAAAATGCGATAGTTTAACTCAAAAGAAGACTACTTATGAATCCTAGTAAATGTACTTTCATTTTATGTAACACGTTCATTTCTGTTGAACAGTAAATAGTTGGAGATCTACAACCAATCACAACTTGAAAATGCCTTCCTTATGTGGTCATAAATATGCACCACAAGCAGTTGCTTTTAACATGTTTGCCCACTAATATGTCCACATTATATGTCATGTCGAGTTGTAAAATGGCTATAAATAGATTAGGAAAGTAATTTGTTTTAGAAATCCCTTAATTGGAGGGATTCTGTTATTCCTTAATTATAGGCTGATTTAGTTTCCTATTTTTCCTCTTGTAAATTACTATATATTGCCGTGTATTATCAATGAGAAAGATGAATTTTCCCTTCTTATATTTTGTTTCATGGTATCAGAGCTTCGGCTCCTCTGGGAATTTTTCAGGCAGCCTTCATTGCTATCTTGTAAATTACTATATATTGCCGTGGATTATGATTGAGTAAGAAGATTTTTCCCTTCTTATATTTTGTTTCATGGTATGAGAGCTTCGGCTCCTCTGGATAGTTTTCAGGCAGCCTTCATTGCTGCGGATTTGAGTTCTGTTTTTTCGAGTTCTTGTCTGGCATATTTTAGCCAGTTTTTTGCTTTGATTGCCTTCCTTAAAACCTGATCAGTCAGCAACTCCAACTCATCCACCGAAATCATCATGTCAACCTCCGAAATCACCAGCAACCCATCAGAAGAATCCAATACTGTTCAGAAAATTGGAGAGTTACAGAACATTCGAGCCTCCTATAGATTCAATGGGAAAAACTACCTCAAATGGTCTCAATTTGTCCGAACGTATCTCAAAGGCAAAGGAAGACTTGATCATGTTCTTGGAAAAGGACCTGCAAAGGATAAACCAGAATTTAGAGCATGGGATGAAGAGGATTCCATGATAATGTCATGGCTATGGGACTCTATGGATCCCATGATTAGCGACACATGCATGTTTCTGGCTACCGCAAAGGAGATATGGGACTTCATCCACCGCACATATTCAAAAGCCCATGATGCTGCCCAGGTGTACGAGATTAAGGTCAAGACTGCAGCTACAAAGCAAGGAGAAAAATCTGTCACAGAGTATGCAAACATATTGCAAAATCTGTGGCAAGAACTTGATCATTACCGAGTTTTTGAAATAAAATGTCCTGAGGATGCTGCCATCTTGAAGAACTTCATTGAAAAAGATCGAGTTTATGATTTTTTGGCAGGATTGAATCCTGAATTTGATCAGGCTAGAGTTCAAATTCTCGGAAAGTCAGACACACCACCTCTAGAAGAAAGTATTTCATTAATTCGAGCAGAAGAAAGCCGGAGAAGTGTTATGCTTGAGCCACACACCACGGATGGGTCAGCCCTGGTAGCAAACCATCAGGAGAAAAGAAAGAATGATATACCCAAATACCCGGGTAGAGAAAAACAGTGGAAGGAAAACAAGGACAACCTCTGGTGCACCTATTGCAAGAAACCGAGGCATGAAAGGGAGAAATGTTGGAAGTTAAATGGTAAACCTCCAAGCCGAGAATGGGCTTTGGCCCTTTCAGGTAAACTTCCATTTTCTTTTTGCTTCAATGCCTCAGACAAGTGTTATGACAATTCCTGGATCATTGACTCAGGTGCCACAGACCATATGACCCCCACTCCTCAATTCTTTCATACCTATACCCCATGTCCAAGTAATAGAAAAATTGTAGCTGCCAATGGCTCTTTAGCTACTGTTGCCGGGTTCGGAGATATCCATATCACACCTAACCTTGTCCTCAAACATGTCCTTCATGTACCAAAACTGTCAGCCAGTCTTGTGTCCATTCAAAAACTTACTCAAGATCTTAAGTGTTATGCTGTGTTTTCTCCTTCTTATTGTGTTTTTCAGGATCAAGGAACGGGGAGGAGGATTGGACTTGCTAAGGAAAGGAGCGGCCTCTATCACCTTGAAACACCTCAGAAAGAAAGGAGTTATATGTCTCTGTCTTCATCTTTTTTAAGTTCCGAAAATAAAGATACCTTTTGGTTGTATCACTTACGTCTAGGTCATCCATCATTTAAAGTTTTAAAAATCATGTTTCCTCATTTGTTCCAAGGAATAGATATCTCTGAGTTTCATTGTGATATTTGTGAATTGGCAAAACATACTCGTGTATCTTTTCCTATTAGCAATAAAAGAAGTTCTCATCCTTTTCATTTGATTCATAGTGATTTATGGGGTCCTTCTACCGTACCTAATGTTTCTGGGGCTCGTTGGTTCATAACCTTAATTGATGATTGTACTCGGGTTACATGGCTCTTCCTTCTTAAACAAAAATCTGATGTCAGCACTGTTATACCTACCTTCCACTCAATGATTCAAAATCAATTTGGGGTAAAAATAAAAAGGTTTAAGACAGACAATGCTCGAGACTACTTCAACCAGACTCTATCACGTTACTTTCAAACACATGGTATTATCCATGATTCTTCATGTGTCAACACACCCCAACAAAATGTGGTAGCTGAAAGGAAAAATGGACATTTACTCAATACTACCCGAGCTTTACTCTTTCAAGGAAATGTTCCTAAATCCTACTGGGGGGAGGCTATTCTTACTGCCACACACGTCATAAATAGGCTCCCGTCGACGGTGTTAGATAACAAAAGCCCCATAGAGATACTTAATAAATTTTATCCCCATTTCCGAACCTCTAATGGACTCACACCTAGAGTATTTGGGTGCACTGCTTTTGTTCATGTCCACAACCAACATAGAGGCAAACTAGACCCTCGAGCCATCAAATGTGTATTTCTTGGTTACTCATCCACTCAAAAGGGGTACAAGTGTTACAATCCCTCATCCAGAAAATTCTATATTTCGGCAGATGTTACCTTTGCTGAAAAAACACCGTTTTTCTCCAAGTCCTCTCTTCAGGGGGAGATATCAATGATGGAAGCGAGTACTTGTGAGTCCTTCGAACCAATTAAAAATCTTGACCTTTCTCAGGTTTCAGATGCTCCAATCCGTGTCGAACCCAAACAAATCACATCCGAGTTACCCAATCCTATCACCGAACTCAAGTCTCCTCCTATCCCAGCCAGTGTCACTCATGATCTTCCAAGTTTTCCTCAGGTGTATTCAAGGAGAAAGGCTGTTCCAGAACTGACACAGGTCCAAGAATCCAACTCAGACTTTGGCAATGAGATCACAGTAAGATCTGACTTACCTTTACACACACAAAATGTTGAAACATCCATTGATTCCATAGATGACCTGGATCTCCCTATTGCTGTTAGAAAAAATACCAGAGAATGCACTAAACAACCACTCTACCCACTATCTCACTATGTTTCACTTAAGCACCTTTCACCAGCCCACAAAAGGTTCATTGTGAGTTTAAACACCATTGCTATTCCTAACACTGTTTCTGAGGCATTGTCAAAAAGGGAATGGAGGGACGCTATGAGAGAAGAAATGAATGCATTAGAAAAGAATAGAACATGGGAGATTGTAGATAAACCGAAAGGAAAGAACATTGTTGATTGCAAATGGATTTTCACATTGAAATACAAAGCTGATGGTTCCCTTGAAAGATATAAGGCACGATTGGTGGCTAAAGGGTACACTCAGACGTATGGGATTGATTATCAGGAGACTTTTGCACCAGTTGCAAAAATGAATACAGTAAGAATTTTATTATCATTGGCTGCTCACTATAACTAGGAACTCCTTCAGTATGATGTTAAGAATGCATTTCTTGATGGTGATCTCGATGAAGAAATCTTCATGAACATTCCACCGGGATTTGAGGTGGACACAGTTAACAAGGTATGCAAGCTTAAGAAGGCTCTTTATGGGTTAAAACAATCTCCTAGAGCATGGTTTGGAAGATTTAGTGAAGTGGTCACTGAATTTGGTCTTCAGCGTTGTGGAGTCGATCATTCTGTCTTCTACAAGCACAGGAAAGTTGGCAGAATATTGTTATCCTAGAGCATGGTTTGGAAGATTTGCAAGAGTTATGAAAGACTCGGGATATAAACAAAGTCAAGGTGACCATACTTTGTTCATTAAGCACTTGTCTACAGGGGGAGTAAGTGCACTTCTAGTCTATGTGGACGACATCATAGTGACTGGAAACGATGAAAGAGAAAAACACGAATTGAAGCAAAGACTAGAAAAAGAGTTTGATATAAAGGAATTGGGGAAACTAAAGTACTTCCTTGGCATTGAAGTGGCATATTCTACACAAGGAATCTTCATATCTCAACAAAAGTATGTAACTGATTTGTTGACAGAAACCGGGAAGATTGGGTGTAAGCCAGTTTCTACACCAATAGATCTAAATCATAAATTGGGAGAAGCTAAAGAAGATCTGATAGTTGATAAAAGGATGTACCAGAGGTTGGTTGGTAGACTTATATACCTTGCTCACACTCGACCAGATATAGCCTACTCCGTGAGCGTGATCAGTCAATTCATGCATGATCCTAGAGAACCTCATCTTCAAGCAGCATATAGGGTACTACATTACTTAAAAGGCAGCCCGGGGAAAGGAATTTTGTTCAAAAAGAATAATAACCTAACTCTGGAAGCTTATACCGATGCCGACTATGCAGGTTCCCTAGTAGACAGGAGATCAACTACAGGGTATTGCATTTTTCTTGGAGGTAATCTAGTAACATGGAGAAGCAAGAAACAGAATGTGGTGGCAAGGTCATCTGCAGAGTCAGAATTCAGGGCTATTGCTCAAGGATTGTGTGAACTACTTTGGCTAAAGATCATCCTAGATGATTTAAAAATCAAATGGGAAAGCCCTATGAAGCTCTATTGTGATAACAAGTCAGCTATTAATATTGATCATAATCCTATACAACACGATAGGACAAAGCATATTGAAATTGATAGGCATTTTATTAAAGAAAAATTGGAGGAAGGATTGGTGTGTATGTCCTATGTTCCTTCAGGACAACAATTAGCTGATGTTCTAACAAAAGGACTTAATAGTTCGAGTTTCCATGATTTTGCATTCAAGCTGGGAATGGAAGACATCTATTCCTCAGCTTGAGGGGGAGTGTCGAGTTGTAAAATGGCTATAAATAGATTAGGAAAGTAATTTGTTTTAGAAATCCCTTAATTGGAGGGATTCTGTTATTCCTTAATTATAGGCTGATTTAGGCTGATTTAGTTTCCTATTTTTCCTCTTGTAAATTACTATATAT